CTTTCCGAGCTGAATACATTACCTGTCGTCGTCTGTCTCCCCCTCGGCCCTCACGACACCACCCTCAACCGAGCTGCATATCGGCCTATTCTGCCCCGCATCAAAAATTCCCAATCACCCCTCCATCGTCACACGCGCCTCAGCCATTAGGACTTCAGCAGCCATACGTAGACATGGCCTCAGCACAGGATATTACCGGCGCCTCAGCGTTCGGAAAGCAGCTCGAAGTCTCTGCGAGCCTTGGTCTCTCGACTTCCCCTACTGCTACTTTTCATTCTCCTCCCTCCAGCTTTGGCGGACCTGCTCTCGCCAGGAGGCCCGCCCCCAAGCTCCTGAAGCCTTTCGACACCCAGGACATCAAGATTCTGCTCCTCGAGAACGTCAACCAAACCGGCAAAGACATCCTTACTGAACAGGGCTACCAGGTTGAAGCTCTGAAGACGTCTTTGCCCGAGGATCAGCTCATTGAGAAAATTCGGTAGGCAATGCCTTTTACGATAGACGATTGTGAATTCGAGAGTAAAACATGAGCGACTCATACCATTAAACAATAGGGACGTCCATGTCATTGGTATTCGCTCCAAGACGAAATTGACCGAGAAAGTACTTCGTGAGGCCAAGAACCTACTTGTCATCGGCTGCTTCTGCATCGGCACCAACCAGGTCGACCTTGAGTACGCCGCTGCCCATGGTATCGCCGTGTTCAACTCTCCCTTCGCCAACTCTCGCAGTGTGGCTGAGCTCGTCATTGCCGAAATTATAACTTTGGCCCGCCAGCTTGGCGACCGCTCGAACGAAATGCACCGCGGCACCTGGAATAAGGTCAGCGCGAAGTGCTGGGAGATCCGCGGCAAGACACTTGGTATATCAATCCCATTTCAGGTCTGGCAGCAACGTAAACTCTAACTCCCTCCCAGGGATCGTCGGCTACGGCCACATTGGCTCCCAATTGTCCGTCTTGGCCGAAGCAATGGGAATGAATGTTGTCTACTACGACGTTGTCAATCTGATGGCCATGGGTACTGCGAGACAGGTGCCGACTTTGGACAGCCTGCTAGAAGAGGCGGACTTCGTGACCCTCCACGTGCCAGAACTGCCCGAAACCAAGAACATGATTGGAGCTGTTCAACTGGAGAAGATGAAGACCGGTGCCTATTTAATCAACGCCAGTCGTGGCACTGTTGTCGACATTCAGGCTCTAATCAACGCCATGCGCTCTGGCAAGATTGCTGGCGCTGCTCTTGACGTCTATCCCAATGAGCCCGCCGCCAATGGCGACTACTTTAACAGCTCTCTTAATGTCTGGGGAGAGGATCTGCGCAACTTGAACAACATCATTCTTACTCCGCACATCGGTGGAAGCACTGAGGAGGCACAGCGCGCAATTGGTGTGGAAGGTAAGTTGTCAAGACTGTCATTATTACTCCTTGCCGGGCTCACAAGTGAACAGTTGCCGAGGCTCTTGTGCGCTACATCAACCAGGGCATCACATTGAACAGCGTGAACTTGCCTGAAGTGAACCTGAGATCCTTGACTCTTGACGAACCCGACCACGCTCGTGTCATCTATATTCATCGCAACATCCCCGGTGTTCTGCGCAGAGTCAATGAGATTCTGGGCAACCACAACGTCGACAAGCAAATTACTGACAGTAAGGGTGATATCGCCTACCTTATGGCTGACGTCAGCGATGTGAAGGGGGAGGACATCAAGGATATCTCAGACAGTCTCGACGCTCTAAGCTGTGAGTGTTCTCCCCTCTTCCCCCGAGTTGTTCGACATGATCCATGCTGACTTTGTTACAGCTCGTATCTTGACCCGTGTCTTGTACTAGAGCTAGTCTAGCGCATCGCATTTGGAGGCGTTTATGAATGGAGAATTTGACTTTGGGACATCATAGTGGCAGCTGACGTCTGCTGCCATTTGCGACAGCATTTCAACATGTCGGCAGGAGGCGCCTAAGCGCTTTCGATTATGGAGTATCGGGTTCACATCAACTTGAAGGCATAGAAAAAGGGTAGAAGCATGGCTGCGTCTGCAGTAAGAATAGGATACTTGAAACGAGATCGACGTCAAGAAGTAGTTACGCACTCTGTGAAGCAAATTTGCGAGCGACATTAATGGTGCTACTTGGTCAAGGATCAGGTCAGAGTCAAGTCTCCAGGTTATACGCTGTTTTGGAGTGGCATGGCATGCTGTGCTTCTGCTTGAGCCTTGCACACTGGACGCGGCTGTATACGGCGGGCCAGTAAGGCGGTGAGTGAAGGACATGCGGTACGCGGGGCGTGTCTATGCCTCGGAAATTGTGGTGTGCAGCGGTCCAGTGGCCGGCGCCGGACCCAGTAGCCACGAGAGAGCATGAATTCTTCATACTCAAAAGCATCTTCAGGTGCCTGAACCAATGCCGTCTTTGGCTTAGCCTTCGCCAGGCGACCAGAACACCGGACAGGGAAATGGAGTGCACGTCCGATAAATGGGGACCGGCGGATGGCCCTTGGCCCGATACCAGTCAATCGCGTAGGAAGCAAGTCACATCTCCGTTGGCTAGTTGAGCAGCAACAGCAGATACGTATGTCCAAGATTGCAATGGCATGATGATAAATATCGGGAACAACGGACAAAGACCCTGCCCCAACCTTGCTGGAGAGGGGGATGAAATTTGCAGTTACACTGGGAGCAAAGCGGGTAGGGGGCCGCCATCCACCTTCACCGGCCGCTGGGGTTGAAGAGCAAAGAGCGGAGACAAAAGGGGGGAGAAGCCAGCAGCCATGCGGACAGTAGAGAAACACTGTGCGTTCCAACGCTGTATTTGGGCCCCCCAGCAACAGTCATGTACAACCTGCCTGCTGTTGGCCCTGACTAACTGGCGACGAAGTCACAGACTCTGTTTGTGGCTCGATGAAGAGATGAGATGAAGCTTGCCTCGCTCAGACACACAAAGCCCAATCCCCAAATTTTCACCATAGACACAATGAGAGAAATCGGATAATAGGAAAGAGGTGAGGTAACGAGCGACGAAGCAGAAATCATTACGCCACGAAGAACAAACCTGATGCAGGGCATCTTGCGCTAGTGCGAGAAGCTTAAGAGCGTCGATTGTTTCGTCTGGCTTAGCAGCCAGCTAAATGACCTCTGAGCCTCAAGTTTTCCCGTCGAAATATCTGAATTTTTGACTCTAACTACGCCTCGGGTGATCTTTGGGCTTCAGAGCCTTCTCCTGTCAGCGATGGCCACTAATGGAGAATAAGTGGATGGATATAATCGGCCATAACAGAGCTTCTCTATAAACTGGCAACGAGCCAAATCCTGTAATTCAGAAGAATCAAAGGACACCAAGCCGAAGAACCGGTGTCGAGTCAAGCTCGTCAAGAGACAATTCCGAGGCCTTGAGTCGGGTCCTTTCAAGCCTGACAACCACCAACCTTTCATTAGCCCATCCGTCTTCACATCAAAGAAAACGACAAAGACGCCAAAGAAGACCATTTTAGGGACAAAATCCGTCAAACAGGAGCCAAAATATTATGATTGTAAGCCCATCTGGTAGACAGCAGAGCTAGAGACAGTTGGTCAAAGGGCCAAAGGAATCTTGGAGAAACGTGGAAGAGTAAAGACACAGCAGAAGAAGCCCATCCAGCGGCCGTGCCCTTCACATGCCGCCGCACTGTCTGCTTCTAAGCAATCCCATCTGTCTCCTTTCCCGCCCTTGAGAGCGCTCAAAGGCGTATCCGTACTGCGGGCATAGGGTGCGTCTTAGCTGCGGATTTCACCTCACCTTATATGAGGCAAGTCTAGGTAGTAGAAGGTGAGGGAAAGGTACTTTGAGCAAAACAAAGGCTAGTCATATCCACCTAGGACTTAGGTATTGGCTTACAGGAGAACTACTCCATCCATACCTAAGATACCTACTTGTCTAAGGGTAGGTGTCGCAGCAACAAAGGGTACCTAGGTAGTGTTGATCAGACGCAACATTGCTGTAAGATACTGGACTGCTGCTGCTAGCTTCCTCTGTTCCCCTACTATTGCCCGTAATGTGACCGACCCCCCTGCAACGAGGTGCACCTCTGACACGTTCACTCATCAGGATAGGGGACCACAGTCACTGGACCACACCGCGGGCACGCTCAGTTCCCATGCTGCCATAGTGCCTGCCACGCTAACACTGACCCAACTTTTATCACACAAAGCATTGGCTGTGGCATTTGTTGCCTACCTACCTACTTTCAAGGTACCTTAGGTACCTACCTTACCTAGGTAAGGTAGGTTGGTATTCTTGCTGTCGAAAGGTACCTCACCGCAGTACTGTTGCTTCCATCCCCTGAAGACATCACTCTTGCAGCAGCCTGGCTGATGGGGACGCGTGTGGAGGCTCCCAGTCTCGTCTCTTTCTCTCACGCATCCTTAGTATCAGTGCGCTCGCTCCTCTCAACCCCCGGCCGTTCTCACCTGGCGTTTTTTACTTGGAGCCCCTGTCTGTTGGAACCTCAAAAAGTTGTCCAGTTCATCAGGCCGGCTATCCTCCTTTCCCTACCGCCATTAATCTACCAACCCTCACCTACGTCTGGCATCTGCGTGCAATCTACGCCCAACTGGCCACAAATCTGGACATATACCCGACTCGTCCAGACCACACGTCGTGATCTACTTCGCGTCGTTCCTCAGCTATCAATTGCTACCTCGGCCGGCATACACTCTCCTCTCCGCCTTGCTCGCCCTCCTGGCCCTTTTCTTCCCATCGACACCGTCTCCTAGCCTCCATCGTCCGAGTCTCGACCTGATTTCTGCGACAACCATCTATCTCCAGACGACCATTGCGTCCAGAGTCTAGCAGCTCGCCCACAACACCCAGTTGCTCCTTCCCCCCGGTCGCCCATGAATCTCTCCAGCCCCTTCGAGCTTTCACCCCTAGACTTGTCTCGCCCCATCCGCCACTCCTCTGGGAAATACTAGTTCTGCCGTCAACAATCCTCTCGAATTCATTCTCATCTACTCACTCCGCCCCAATGTCTCAGAACTACGATGTCGGTACGAGGGCATGGCAGCCCGATGCCACCGAGGGCTGGGTCGCGTCCGAGGTTGTCAACAAGACTGTCGACGGTAATAAGGTCAAGCTGGTCTTTAAGCTTGACAGCGGCGAGGTAAGTTTTCTTCTTCCACATCTCTGACTTGAACTCTGCCACAGATGCTGTCACTCTATGCCCGTTGCTGACTTGCCTGTAGGAAAAGACGATAGACGTCACCGTCGAGGCCCTTCAGAATGGCGATTCTTCCTTACCCCCGCTCATGAACCCGACCATGCTAGAAGCGAGCGACGATTTGACGAATTTGTCCCATCTCAACGAGCCTGCCGGTACTGTCTTCACAATCCACGCCTTGGCCTGGCCGCTGTGCTAACCCCACTCCTTTCGACCAGTCCTGCAGGCCATTCGTCTTCGATATGCACAGAAAGAGATTTATACATACAGTGGTATCGTCCTGATTGCTGCGAACCCGTTCGCTAGAGTAGACTCTCTTTACGTGCCCGGCATGGTCCAGGTGTATGCGGGCAAACAGAGGGCGACACAAGCACCGCATCTGTTCGCTATTGCTGAGGAGGCTTTCATGTGAGCGACCCTGCAGTTGTTCAATAGACCTCGCCTTTGCTGACGTGGCGCAGTGACATGGTGCGGAGCGGCAAAAACCAGACCGTTGTTGTGTCGGGCGAGTCTGGTGCTGGTAAGACAGTCAGCGCAAAGTACATCATGCGCTACTTCGCGACCAGAGAATCCCCTGACAACCCGGGAACGCGATCCAAGAAGGGAGCCGAGGCTATGAGCGAGACGGAAGAGCAGATTTTGGCTACGAACCCAATCATGGAAGCCTTCGGCAACGCAAAGACGACGCGTAACGACAACTCCTCACGTTTCGGCAAGTACATCGAGATCATGTTTGACGAAAAGACCAACATCATTGGCGCCAAGATTCGCACTTACCTTCTGGAGCGATCCAGGCTGGTTTTTCAACCTCTCAAAGAGCGCAACTATCACATCTTCTACCAATTGGTAGCAGGTGCTTCGGAGACCGAGCGTCAACAGCTGAACATTCTTCCAATCGAGCAGTACGAGTATTTGAACCAGGGCAACTGCCCCACAATTGATGGAGTCGATGACCAGGCTGAATTCGAGGCAACCAAGAGTTCTCTGAAGACCATTGGTGTGACGGAGGCTCAGCAGTCCGAAATCTTCAAGCTCTTGGCTGGTTTGCTCCACCTGGGAAATGTCAAGATCGGAGCGTCGCGTAACGATAGCGTTCTTGCGCCGACGGAACCGTCCCTGGAGCTAGCCTGCTCGATTCTGGGCGTCAATGGGGCTGAATTCGCCAAATGGATTGTCAAAAAACAGCTGGTCACGAGGGGCGAGAAGATCACGTCCAACCTTACGCAAGCTCAAGCTATTGTCGTTCGAGATTCCGTTGCCAAGTTTATCTATTCCAGCCTGTTTGACTGGCTCGTCGAGATCATCAACATGAGTTTGGCGACTGAGGATGTCCTGAACCGCGTTACCTCTTTCATTGGTGTGCTCGATATCTACGGCTTCGAACACTTTGCGAAGAACTCGTTCGAGCAATTTTGCATCAACTACGCCAATGAAAAGCTGCAACAGGAATTCAACCAGCATGTCTTCAAGCTGGAGCAGGAAGAATACCTCAGAGAGCAAATCGACTGGACATTCATCGAGTTCTCAGACAACCAGCCCGCCATTGACTTGATCGAGGGTAAACTCGGTATCCTGTCTTTACTGGACGAAGAGTCCCGTCTGCCGATGGGCTCAGATGAACAATTCGTCATGAAGCTGCACAATCAGTACGGAACCGACAAGCACAAATTTTATAAGAAGCCGAGGTTTGGAAAGTCTGCCTTCACAGTTTGCCACTATGCGGTGGACGTCACCTACGAGTCGGAGGGATTCATTGAGAAGAATCGTGATACTGTTCCGGACGAGCACATGGCTGTCCTCCGCGCCAGCACAAACGACTTCCTCCGCAACGTTCTCGATGCTGCCGCTGCCGTTAGAGAGAAGGATGTGGCATCTGCCTCGTCCAGCTCCGTGAAGCCCGCTGCTGGTAGGAAAATTGGCGTGGCTGTCAACAGGAAGCCGACTCTAGGAGGCATTTTCCGCTCCTCGCTGATTGAGCTCATGAATACCATTAACAACACGGATGTGCACTACATTCGTTGTATCAAGCCCAACGAGGCCAAAGAGTCGTGGAAGTTCGAGGGCCCAATGGTTCTTAGCCAGCTGCGAGCTTGCGGTGTTCTCGAGACTGTGCGTATAAGTTGCGCTGGTTACCCCACAAGATGGACTTACGAGGAATTCGCTCTTCGGTACTACATGCTTGTCCATTCCGACCAGTGGACATCAGAGATTCGAGAGATGGCCAACGCTATCCTGTCCAAGGCCCTAGGTTCTAGCTCTGGAAAAGGTACGGATAAGTATCAGCTGGGCCTCACCAAGATCTTCTTCCGTGCTGGCATGCTTGCTTTCCTTGAAAACTTGCGCACTAGCCGCCTGAACGACTGCGCAATCCTCATTCAGAAGAATCTTCGCGCCAAGTTCTATCGCAACCGCTACCTCGAGGCTCGCAACGCTATCGTGACTTTTCAGTCCGCCGTGCGAGCGTACATTGCCCGAAAGCAAGCCCAGGAACTCCGCACTGTCAAGGCAGCAACAACAATTCAGCGGGTTTGGCGTGGCCACAGGCAAAGAAAAGAGTACTTACGCATCAGGAACGATGTCGTCCTGGCGCAAGCGGCGGCCAAAGGTTACCTTCGAAGAAAAGAAATCATGGAGACCCGCGTAGGCAACGCTGCTATCCTCATTCAGCGAGTGTGGCGGTCTCGTCGACAGGTGCTTGCTTGGAGGCAGTACCGGAAGAAGGTCACTCTTATTCAGAGCTTGTGGCGTGGAAGAATGGCTAGGCGTGACTACAAGAAGGTCCGCGAGGAGGCTCGTGATCTGAAGCAGATTTCCTACAAGCTGGAAAACAAGGTCGTCGAGCTGACACAATCTTTGGGTTCCATGAAGACTCAGAACAAGAACTTGGTATCTCAAGTTGAAAATTACGAGGGCCAGATCAAGGCATGGAAGAACCGCCACAACGCTCTCGAGGCTCGCACGAAAGAGCTTCAAACGGAAGCCAACCAGGGAAGCATTGCAGTCGCCAGGCTGCAGGCAATGGAGGACGAGATGAAGAAGCTCCAGCAGAGCTTCGAAGAGTCAACTTCCAACATCAAGAGAATGCAAGAGGAGGAGCGGGAGCTGAGAGAGTCCCTGCGCTCCACAAGCACCGAGCTGGAGACTGTCCGACAGCAGAGCGCCCAAATCGAAAGCGAAAAGCTGTCCTTACGCCAACAGTTAGCCGAGCTTCAAGATCAGTTGGAGCTGGCGAGGAGACTTGCTCCTGCCAACGGCGAGCTAACCAACGGCGCCGCTCAAGCGCAGGCCTCGGCTGCCAGCGGTCTCATCAACCTCGTTTCCTCTAAGAAGCCCAAGCGCCGCAGCGCCGGTGCCGAGCCGCGAGAGATGGATCGCTTCAGCGCTGCGTACAACCCTCGACCCGTCTCCATGGCCGTTACCAGTACCGCCTTGAGGCAGAATCTCCAAGGCGCTGGTGGCTTCACACCCAATGTGGACAACATCGAGCTAGAGCTGGAGACTCTCCTAGCCGACGAGGATGGTCTGAACGAGGAGGTCACCATGGGTCTCATCCGCAATCTCAAAATCCCTTCCCCCAACACAAACCCCCCGCCATCCGACAAGGAGGTTCTTTTCCCTTCGTACCTCATCAACCTCGTCACTTCGGAAATGTGGAATAATGGCTTTGTGAAAGAATCTGAGCGTTTCCTAGCCAACGTCATGCAGTCTATACAGCAGGAGGTCATGCAACATGACGGCGACGAGGCCATTAACCCGGGTGCCTTCTGGTTATCCAATGTCCACGAGATGCTGTCCTTTGTCTTCCTCGCGGAAGACTGGTACGAGGCCCAGAAGACGGATAACTATGAGTACGACCGTCTTTTGGAAATCGTCAAGCACGACCTTGAGAGCTTGGAATTCAACATTTACCACACTTGGATGAAGGTGCTGAAGAAGAAGCTCCATAAGATGATTATTCCCGCCATCATCGAGTCTCAGTCCCTTCCAGGATTTGTCACCAACGAGAGCAGTCGCTTCCTCGGCAAGCTTCTGCAGTCCAACTCGACGCCCGCTTACAGTATGGACAACCTCCTCAGCCTGCTGAACAGCGTTTTCCGCGCCATGAAGGCCTATTACTTGGAAGACTCAATTATCACCCAAACGATCACTGAGTTGCTCCGCCTGGTCGGCGTCACTGCCTTCAACGACCTGTTGATGAGACGAAACTTCCTCTCCTGGAAGCGCGGTCTTCAGATCAATTACAATATCACTCGTATTGAGGAGTGGTGCAAGAGTCATGACATGCCCGAGGGAACTCTTCAGCTGGAGCACTTGATGGTATGACCTGAGCTCAATTCCGAATACAAAGATATCAGCCGACTAACTGTCACACAGCAAGCAACGAAGCTCCTGCAGCTAAAGAAGGCCACCTTGAATGACATCGAGATCATTCAGGACATTTGCTGGATGTAAGCAAGAACCAAAAGCCGACGTAGATGGTGCCAGAATGCTAACATAGTAATCTCTCTAGGCTGTCGCCCAATCAAATTCAGAAGCTCTTGAACCAGTACCTCGTGGCAGACTACGAGCAGCCTATCAATGGCGAAATCATGAAGGCTGTAGCCTCTCGCGTGACGGAGAAGAGCGATGTCTTGCTTCTGCAGGCTGTCGACATGGACGATAGTGGCCCATACGAGATTGCGGAGCCCAGAGTCATCACTGCTTTGGAAACTTACACTCCCTCATGTGAGCAGCCAATGGTACATGAATATGTCGTGGAGTTGCTTGCTAACGATCTGATGAACAGGGCTTCAAACACCGCGACTGAAGCGACTTGCTGAGATCGTCTCAGCGCAGGCGATTGCTCAGCAGGAGAAGTTGGACTACGACCCTGAGGACGGCTTCGAGCCCAATGGCGACCTTGCCGAAGTTGACGAGAACGAGGTGGCGGCGTGAGTTGATGCTCAGAGGGAGCGTATGAGGAGTCGCCTTGTGTTTTTAGGGGGGGAGGCAGCGGGCGAGAAAGCCAGCCGCTGATGGCGGGGCGTCGCTCGCTGCCGTCTGGTCCGAGTCGGGCACTGGCATAATGAAGCTGTCAAGTGTGTGATGACCTGGTGTGGGCGGCGAAATGCCTTTACCTCCGTGTTATGAACTAGAGCTGGGTATTTACAGCGGCAGATTTTGCATGGGTAATGTAGAAGAAGCAGTTTTTCTGGCGTCGTGTGCTAAGGATATCGCCAATTGATTGAATCGGGAAACACGTGTATTTACACTCATACAAAGGTAGATACAGTCACACTAGGACCACGACAAGTATGAGAATGGGGTTTCGACTACTTGCCCTATAGACGCAGTCTACACACAGTATGTCGCTTCCTACACCTTATTAGCATTGTTGAGTGAGGATTAGTGTAAGATAAAGGTAGGACGGGGATATGACCCGATCTCCGTCGATCTTTCATGATTAACGATTGTTATCATCACGTGATACTGAAAAATTCCGAAGCCCTATCGTATAGATGCATGTGGAACTGTCCCTCTCTGCCCTTTAATGCAATAGACGAAGTAGCACCCCACCATCTTTTTCTCCTTCGTCGGCCACTCATCCACATATCAATGTTGGGTCTCACTGACTATCACATGCAAAGTCGGCTTCCTTTCTGTGCTGCTTTATAATTTGCAACCCTTTTTGTTTGAAGGAACCGATAAGCAAGTCAAAATGAGGGCTTCACCCAACATTATTATCACTGGCACACCGGGTGTTGGCAAGACAACCCATTGTGAAGAGCTCGCAAGGAGGTCAGGCCTGACACATCTCTCCGTGAATCAGGTTGTCAAGGACCGAGAATGTCGTGAGGGTTGGGATGATGAATTTCAAAGTTGGATCGTTGACGAGGATAAGGTTAGCATTCTACACCCCTGCTCCCGCCTTTTCTCACTCCCTCGCCCTTTCTCTCCCTAGGTTGCTTTTCACTCTTAGACCCTCTTCCAATTCCCGATTCGAAAACCTAGACTGAAACCTTCCTGATAGACTAAGCTAACGATACATTATATAGCTGCTGGACGCCATCGAGGCTGAGGTTGCGAATGGTGGGTATATCATCGATTGGCACGCCTGTGACCTCTTTCCCAAGAGCTGGATCGACCTTGTGGTGGTCCTTCGCGTGGACTCGACTACACTCTATGATCGTTTGACAGCGAGGTAAGAAACAAGAACCATCAAATATCCGCTGTGCATTTTCTCTGCGAGTATTCCACTTTGGCGTGGGCGACGGCGATAACAACGGGCTTCGGCTTACCGGATTGCGACATAGAAAATACCCCGAGGCAAAGCTGCAGGAGAATCTTGATTCGGAGATCATGGAAGTTCTTTTGCAGGAAGCGAGGGATGCTTTCGACGAGGAGATCGTGGTTGAGCTCACAAGCAACACCTCCGATGAGATGGAGACCAACGTCTCACGGGTTGAGGAGTGGTTAGAGCAGTGGAAGAAGGACCATTCTCCATGAAGAAAGTTATTGTTCTAGAACAAGGCTCAAGTCCATCTCACTGATTTCGGTCGGACTTGATTTGGACAATGTCGACGAGCCGGCAAGCTTTACTTTGAGCTGGAGACTGGTATGCCAGTGAGTCGTCATACGCGCGAAGTTTCGCTCCGGCTTACGAGTCGATATTATGAAAACGCACTCCTGAGGGATGGAAAATGGAGAACCGCAATCTTAAAGCTGCTAGCCCGGGACGCCTTGTGTCTGTTGTGCTAGATTGCCTCCTCCCGAATTGCCATTTAGCTGGCCTGTAGATAGCCGCAATATGCACCAAGACGTGCATCGCCCCGATAAAGCATAGTATGGAAATTCGCCCCGGTCTTCACAGAACCACCTGCAACCCAGAGCATCTTACGCACCTTGGGCTGTGAAACATATCCAGTCGAAGCGAAAATTAAGAGTTGTCACTGCAAGAACAGTTGGCTTCCTCTACTGCTCCCTTCTCCTCCCCACAAGTCTCGTCCAAATCGCGGCTGTATCGTACGCACACGGTTCTCACCATGGCGACGCCACCGGTTGTTAACTTTATCACTGGCAACGCCAATAAGTTGCGCGAGGTCAAGGCCATCCTCGAACCGGCCATCGTCGTGCAAAGTCAAGCGATAGATTTGGATGAAGTCCAAGGCACTGTTGAAGAGGTCACGATCGCGAAGTGCCGTAAGGCTGCAGACACGGTGAGATGCTTGTGAGCGATACGGTTTTACTAAACGCTGAATTTTACCTCAACAGGTTCAGGGTCCTGTTCTAGTCGAGGACACATGTCTTTGTTTCAAGGCTCTCAACGACCTCCCTGGTCCCTACATGTAGGTGTGCGCGACTACTTGTCCACCCTTCGGCTCTCTATCTTCCCTGCCTGTCGGTTTTTTTTTTTTTTTGGGCACCGCTGCGAGACACTGATGGTTTCCAGCAAGTGGTTTATGCAGTCTATTGGGCATCAAGGTTTGAACAACCTCCTTGCCGCTTACTCGGATAAGTCTGCCGACGCTGTCTGTACTTTTGCTTATTCTCCTGGCCCTGGCCATGAGCCAGTCCTTTTTCAAGGTCGCACCAGGGTAAGAAGTGGACGATGATCATCAGAACGCCGTTTGCGCTCAAAGGCTCATGCTACATGCAGGGCAAGATTGTGCCACCCCGGGGTCCCACGGATTTCGGTGAGTAGTTGTAAAGGCTTCGGTCTCATTTGATTCTGACGAGGTTGAGGCTGGGACGCTATCTTCGAGTACGATGGTCAAACGTAAGTCCCACTCTGGTCCTCGTCTCCAAGAAACCTCTTAGTAAATGAACGCAGCTACGCCGAGATGGATAAGACCGCGAAGAATAGGATCTCTCACCGCGGCCTCGCGCTCAAGAAGCTGCAGGAGTGGTTTGCCCAGAAGGCAGACTAAGTCTCTTAGTAGCGCGTCGAGGGGCAATTGGCGCTTGTCTCTCCACATGACATGAAGTTCGCGGGATCGCTATCTGCTGCTCTGTGGAGGGCTGAGCTGCGACCCGTCGAGTCTGCGACGCAGTGTCAACTTGGGGCGATAGTGTACGCATCACGCTTGTGGTCGCTTACCTGAGAATTTCGAACTCGCGATATCGGCGAAGGTATTTCGAACCGCGACGATAGGGCTTTAGCGATTCATCGGCAGACCTATGCTTGAAAGTCTGGCCTATGAGTCGGGCGAGTGCAGGCGCATCGCGGAACATGGGGTCGAAAACCAGCAGATTCGAAGGGCCATTCTTTTGTCTCTCGAAACCCACGATTGTCAACGAGTGCCCTGCAAACAGTTAGTGTCGACAGGTCTGATAGAGCACTTCTATGTACCGGCATGCTGGAAATATATGGGCGGAAGCTCCGTGCATGTAACTTTGGCGGGTGGGCTTTGCATTCCATGCTTGAAGTACTGCTCAACAGCATACATCAACTTGGCTTCGGATCTCCCTGGCTCCGCATCTTTGAACCCCTGAGCAGTGCACCTACGGTCCTGTCAACGGCGTGCTGAGAAGAGATTTCAAGTCTGCAGACTCACGGTATCTGAAGGCTGACAAAGAGCGCTTGAGCCTGTAATTTGCACTTAGTCGATGTATGCATTCCTCGAAAAGGAAAGTCTCACCTCCGGCGTTCCAATATATTTACGAGTGCCCTTGATACCCCCCGTTTCAACGCGGCCTTGGGCGTTAATGCCCATATCCCACGCATTTTCGATGTACTCTTGTATCTCGAATATGGTGGGCAAACGTCCCCTGAACTGATCTCTGCCGTAGGCGTTCGCACCGTTGATGTAAGAAACCATCATCTGTATGTTGCGATAGCCGCAGAAACCACCTCGCCTTATGTCAATATGTGCCGGGACGGAGGGAAGTGGGGTTTGACTACCTTCTTTCTTCAGCTTAGACACGTGTTGCACGGCGGGGTGGCAGAGATACGCATATTCTGTAGACCTGCTCTGCCGAAGAAGCTGTTCGAGAACGTTGATCACCCCTGAAACTTAGTCTGCGGTCCATCACGGCCTGAAAGATGTACGAACCGTCGCTTGTTACCTCCCCGCCTTTATGAAGTAGCGAAACCAGCCAGTCAGGCATGGTTTGTTCATGCGCGTATTTGCCCAGCTCGGCTTTCTGGTACCTGTCAGCATATGTGAGGACACCGACACGTCCTCTAAGCGGACATACTCCCAAACGCTTGTCCCCTGTCGCGACTTTTTCTTTGGGCTGGGGCATTGACAAGAGCTGGCCCCATTGCTGGATGACAGCCCTCTGCGTGTCACCTGCAGATCCGCTACCAGCATGACTGCTGCTGCTCACGGCCCCGACTTCGGTGGTCATTCTGGAGCTCGCGGTACCGTCGGCCGTCTGGTTCTCAGACGGATCGCCGACCCCTTGCCGCTGTTCTTCGACGTGGAGGTCAACGTGGTAGTCCATCTCAGCTATAGAGAGCACTTCGCCGCATCCTTCGATGGGGCACTCAGCATACTGCTCCTGAGCTGCCTGTGATGATGAGGCCTGGTCTTCTTCTGGATGAAAAGATTCCATATGCTGGGAAGCCGATCAGTGTCAAGTTTCAGTGACTCGCATCTGGTTCGTGGACACACCGTCAGCATCTCATATTCACCGCCGCCGGCGATTCCGCAGAAGGGACAGATCATGGTGTTCGTCATGCTGTCGAATTCAGAACTTCGGTGAGGCGAATAAGATTGGTTCAGAACTTCGGTGAAGCGAATTTGATGCAACTAACAATGAGATGAAGGGGTCGAAGGAGAATCGAAGAAACGAGGCCAGGTTTATCGACTTAATGTTTCTCCAAGCAATTGAGCTTGGCTCGATGATTGTCTTAGATTGAATCAGTACTGTGCATTGCCTTTGCAAAAGTAACTGCAAAGAACTCGCTCACGGTGGAAGAAGACACAAAGAGAGGTGGCTAAGTCGTGACGTCCAAGAGTACTCGAAGTCGCCTGAGTCCTGGGCGCGCAAGAACACGTGGTTTTGAAAGGAAGATAAATCGTTGAAATGTGCCGCAAGTTCACCAGTGTGGCGCGCAGCAATATCTTCGGAAACTCGCCGTCGAGACGGGGGCAACAACTCAGTTGGCTTCTCTAACACGACGCGAAAGGAAAGGGGTTAGTGGAAGAGGTCTAAAGGTCTCTGATTATTGGATGTCGCCCAGGCATTGGGAGGAAGTTCCTACCTTACGCAGGGTTCGCATAGAGGCTTCCCAGAAACGTAGAACCAGTTAGGGGTCAGCCCCATCGGCGTTAGAGCATGAAGTGATGTGCCCAGTCTGAGGAGCGGTTATGCAGGCCGGCTCAAGCTGCAACTCTCTGCCGATTAGGCAGTGTATCATGCAGCCACTACCTTATCTTATCATAGAGCCAAACCTGTCCAGATTCACCAGTTCAAGGTATGTCACACATGCATGTAATTATGCTGACTTTACCAAGAAAGTGCATGGTCTTCGCATCATTTTGCAGTGAGTTCGTAGGAAGTCAAAAAGGAACATCATGCCATATCTAGCCGGCGCGGGAGATTGAACCTTGGTTTTTTTGGAGGGTTGCATATGGCGAAAGCCATGAGACATCTGCATGCCTATGCCCAACTGGTTCGAGTCGCTGGTTCATTTCAACAGCAACAACGCTTACAATTGGGCACGTCCGCTGGAGGAAAACAAGAACGTCGTTGGTATTGTTACAGATAATCTATGAATCGTTACATGAGTGTGCATTTGCCGCCTTCCGCGGCCTCGTTTGGATTTTGTGCCTTCTCGATCTGTGCGATCAGTATTTCAAACGCCTTGGAGACGTTCTCGTTATAACGCGCGCTCGCCTCGGTCCATCCACACTGGATCCTTTCGGATAGCTTCTTTCCCTCTTCGGCGCTGACCTGGCGTTGCTCGGGACGCAGATCGCTCTTGTTGCCGACGATGACAATCGGCACCGACTCAGTGCCCTGGAAGCGACCAGTCGGATCGTTAGCTTTGCTCGCTTTCCCAGAGGATCAAGGACTCCAGACGTACCAGGTGGTTCAATATCTTCTCTCGAATAACCTGCACCATCTCAAATGATGGCAACGAAGAGACGGAGTACACTAGCATATACCCGTGGATGCCAATGAAGTGCTTCGAGTTCAGAATGCTGTATTCATCCTAGTAGAACTGGCTGTCAGCGGCAGTCTACATTTCGACCGCGTTTGCCCCGTATCGATCGAGTTGTCGGTAACGCGAGGGGTGTGTTGGCCGGCGACGTACTTGGCCAGCAGTGTCAACTATCTCTGTAGCAAACTCCTGCCCCTTATAACGTATGGTTTTGCTAAAGGTATTCTCGATGGTCGGATAGTAGCTGTCAACAAAATGGCCGTCGACAAACTGAACGGCAAGCGAAGATTTGCCTATGCGTCGGGTGATCCGCCATCAGCAAAAAGGACGTCATAGACTGTCGGATGGTTCATCTCGACGCAAACCACAGTCACAACAAAAGCAGCGAGGCCCCAACCCAGTTCGACTTTAGGAAAGCAGCGACTGTTTGACCTACCGACGGACCGACTGCCAACAATGGCCACCTTCCTGTTCTTTGGCGCTGGCATTTATCTGGTACTCAAACGAGCGTATTTCGGCTCGGCTTCTCGTGCGAATTTGGCTTGAATGATGATCAGTGGGTGTCAAAGAATAGGAAGGTGACTGGTTTCAATCACATACGGAAGACGGGCGATGCACCAGTTGAGGTTCAACGGGGCGCTTTGGTGGGGGATAAGGCGGTATCGGGATGGAGTTGCAGATGTGAGAGGTGTGTGAAGGCGATAGATACCTCTTGCAGTCGCGGGGACCATACATGTGCCAAACTCCCCGTACCCGGTGACAGACCCTCCCACTAACAAATGACCATGTCCCACTAAATTAGAGGTGTCGGCAGGGACCTTGGTGGAATGAGCAGCACGCCCAAGCAGCTGCATTGGGCTGCCGGCCACTGTCACACACCCCCGGGCTGCGTATTGTGGGGTCGGTGAGTGTAAGGTACCTACCTACCTTACCTAACCTACCTAAGGTAAGGCTTCCCTGCGGGCCCAAGATGAAAGAAGCCAGCTGCCTTAGGTAAGACGGCCTCACCAGTCGGTTAGAGAGGAGTTCCCGCTCGCATTTGGCCTATTCTCGGGGCTTTCACTTCCCATTGCTTTTTTGGACGCATTAGAGTATTATTTCCAATGCATCCAAATCCAAAGTCGAAAATTTTCTGGTCGACTTCCATACTCATACACGATAACAGCAGATGTTACATAACCTGTGCCTAGCTAGCTAGGTAGCAAGCAGATTTCAACCGGAAATCCCTCCTACTATCAGTTCGCGTGAGAAGCCCGACCTCTCCGCATTCTTAACCTCCTCTACGGGACAGCAAGGTCTCCCAGATGAGCAAAGCTCAGATAGAAACATTTGGCCCAAAAAAACAAATAGGCCACCCACGCGAACAGGGCCAGTGTCATTAGCTGTCACCTATCTTCGGGGACGTGGTACGCAGGTGTCAGTGGACATTCATATAATGTAAGTCATCTCATCGTCTTGTAAAATGCCGGGTACTATATGCCCCCTCATGTCGTCGTAACGAGTGCCACGCGGTCGAGTTTGTCATGCGGGTACCCTGCCCTTCTGCCTCAGCTCGTTGACTAGGTTTTGTAGGCTCGTCGTCAGCTCGTCTGTGTCAACCTTTGCGTGCAAGGCCATAAACTCTTGGATCGAATCAAGTAGATACTTGATGCCCCTCCCTTGGCTTTTCTCTTCCAACCGTCGCCGAACCTGAGATCCCAGACAAAGGTAGCCCAGAAGAACGGCCAAATAGCCATGGGCTACGGCCACTGATGTCTTTTCCACAGAGTCGGCCTATTATTTTATTGTCAGTCTCATTGAACCCTTAGTCTTCATTGGGCAGTTAACTCACCATGACAGCTGATTCTCGGTTATCTAGATAAACCTCCATTAGCTTTTCCAGGGGTGATCCATCATCACCTTGCCAAGCATCAACGGACTGGCGGGTCGAGGGGCAATGCTCAGAGGTATTAATCATGACCCCAAGCATTAGCATGAGAATCTCGTAAATATCTTTAGAAAAGGCCCCGTTGCGGATGGACTGCTCTAGCAACTCAAACGCTGCGAGACTGGTGGCAGCCAGCTCTCGAAAGAGTTCACCCCTGCTAAATGCGCCAGCTGCGGTCGGGTTGTTGTTCGTTGTGTTCAGAGCTAGTTTCAGCGTTGTGGACTCGAATTCACCGAACTCTGCCATTGGCCGAGACATGGCTGCCGTGAGGATGTCTGCGAGGATGGGCAAGTAGCGTTTGGTCCATTGGGGGCCAGCCTCGGACTGCATGGCCATAATCGAGCACCCCTCCAAAAGGGACAGCGCGATCCCACCTTCGGTAGTTCCCATTCCCTGAGCACGACTGTGTTCCCAGCCTTTCTTGACAAACCCAAACAAACGATCCGTCAAGCTTGCGATGATGGCCCTCGTAGCCAGACCATCATTGTCTTTGCATAACAAGGACAGGACTTTGAGAGCCAATATTCTTGGCGACAAGTTCCTCGGGGGCGAGCCTTTCCAAACCTCCAACCTTTCCAAAGTCAATCGCAGCATGGCCAAAGAACCTTGCCCGTTCTTGGAGAGATTTGACTTCCGCTGACTAGCAAGGCTAATGATGTCCTCGTCCTCGTCAAACATCGTAGACGCCAGTTGCGCGATGCCTTCAGACTGGAGCTGTGGAACTAGATGAGGAACCGAATATGACGTGAAGAGCACCAGAAGGACGGACAAGAGGATAAATCCACTGATAACATCCTCCTCAGTACCAATTGCCCGGAATAAGGCATCCTTGGCACCTTGGTCTCGGAATTGGCGTACGAACGTCTTGTCCCGGAGGTTGGTGGCCAGCTCTAGTAGCGCCGTACGTCTTGAGCGAGAAGACTGCGACTTTGGCGGCTGAGGAGTTCCTACTCTATCCAGGAGATCAGCCATACTGTCTGCGAACCGATGATTGGCACCGGCCTGCCTGAGAGCATGGATGTCAATAATGCCGCCGCCTTTGGATGACGGAACCTCCTCCATTTCCTCATCCTCAAAGGAGAATGAAGCCAGCTTAGACATTGGAGGAGGCGACACGTCAAGCTGACTATCAATACCCAGACTCATTTGGCTTCCAAGACCGTCTCCGCCGGACTCATCTGCCTTGAGTGTCCTCTGCTCTCCGTACGTCGACCGGAATTTTCTTTGACTCGAAAGCGGTTTTGGTCGCGTCGACGGCCTTGGTGTCATCGCTGCGTCTGTGGGCCTCATCGGCGTAGAAAGCGAACTTTGGCTCTTGGCTATCTCTGCAATGCCCCCCTCCGTCATATCAGACGCGTCAGACTCGCAGTCAGAACTATCTTCATCATTCTGTGCTGCCAGTTGGTCGATCAAGCGTACGCGCCTTGCCACGTTTAGGCGTTTCTGCTTTGGGATAGAAGACTCGACTGCCATCGAAGCCGCCAGTATGAATCTGGGTTCTATCAGAGGGGAGCGCGCTGGTGTTTTGTGCCGTATCTGCGAACTAACTTCGCTCTTCTGCCGGATGTTGCTTTCGACTGCGGCCTGAGCATCGAGAAGAGACGCCTCACCCTGCTGGTGACGTACAGACTTCTCTGGCTCAAGGTTCGGCGTAGGTCCCGGTATGGGTATGGATCTCGCCTTAGGCGCAGGCTTAGACGATGACGGCTTCGATTCATGCTTCGCGAGGGGGAGGGATGTTGCGCTTCTCGGGTCGAAAGGCGACTTGATACGGCGTGGATGAGAGGGCAGTGTTGATTGCGCAGCATGCGGAACGGGTTGACTACCGGGCCTGCGGTCGGCCTTGGTAGTAACGGCTGTTGGTACTTTCCTCTTCTTGAAGTTTGCGGGAGCATCCGGAGTTATGTTGGTTAACTGGTCCAACTGCGTTGCGGCGCGTCGAGAGAGGGATGGTGGCAGGTGCGTAGGCTCGTCATCGGACATATCATAGGGGTCTCGGTTCGGGTCTGTGGGAATACGCTGCGTGGGGGTGTCTTTTCCATCACTGCTGGCACGTTGCGAGCTATTCGACAGTTCAAGAAACGCGTGTATAGGTCGTTTGCGCGAGGTCTTGCCGTAAGTCGTGGTCTTCTTCCGAGGAACGCTGGGCCCATCTTGAGTAGCCATATTGTGTGGAAATCTATACCAACAAAGAGTATGCGACGCTGCGACGCGTTATGGAAGGGCTAACAATCCCGTTGCACCTTTTGGTGAGCAACACGCTCCATGCAGGAGAGAGAGGGCGGCAGAGGAGTAGGAATGGAGGGGAAGGTTAACTGCCGATTGGTGCGACGGCGACTCAAGTTCGAACGGGCGTGGGTATCGTGCTTTCGCGGTCGGCTGCTGTCAAAATAATGCGCCGTCAAACGCAAGCTAGTGTGAATCGTAGCTGGCGAAGAGCTCTGAGCCGAAGGAAAAGCAAAGCCGGCGTCAAGTGCTCTGAAATGCACAACAGATGCTACAGGGCACGTTGTGGTAGAACGGTCGAGGCGTGAAGAGGCGCGAATATGTCTAGCCGGGGCCTTGGGAAAGGAACACTCAAGAGCGCGCCTGCGGCTAAAGGTGATGGCGATAGCGGTGCGATGGAAGTGATTGATCGCGACAGTTGGTGATTGGTGGCGAGGTTCTGCAGTTATTTTGGCACCTTGCAAGAGACACAGTTGTTTTCGAAAGCAAGGTTACCTTTTACTGTTTTGTTCCTTGATCACAGATCGCGCGCAAGGGGGACGGCAGATGCTTTTCTCTCCTGGTCTGACCTTCTACGCCTTGCGCAGGCGCATGGCACCTTACCGATGAGGGTACGTACCGCCTTCTCCTCTGCCATTTGCATCCACTGCATCAATGCCCCGGTTGTGCGATATCCATTAAGTTAATTACTGAAGCTGCGACCACTTAATAAGAAGTATGTACATCATGCTCCATAGTGTTCTCGAGTTCCCTACATGATGAGTGTCTCGTTTACACAGGTGAAAATAAGAAGCAAAAGAGATAGAGGAAGACAGAAAGAAGAGGGTAATATCTAAAGAGACAGGAAGGGCATGTACCTTTGTACAGATAGGCATATAAAGAAAAACAGCCCGATAACGCGGTGCTTGGGAAACGAAAATGGTACTTAACTGCTTGATCCATCCAACAACCCCACGTCCCTTATCTCTTCACAGTGCCTCGTTTATCACCTTACCTAAAAACCCAAGGCGAGAACTGGCAGTGATTGATCCCTTGACTGCCCCTCCCCGGCCCTGCATTAAGGTATCCGCAATTCGCGTTGCGTTAGTGTCCCTGTAAGTCTGTTTCCGCCTCTTTACCCTAAGCTGAGCGCCTCTCAGCAGAATTCTGGCGGCGGCGGACGGCGAGCTCCATTGTGTCTCGTGACACTTCTCATTCCAACTCTTTCGGCTTCCGTGCCAATATTACGTCGGGGCTCTGCAGTTCGCATTCCAGTCTAGCAGACGATTGCAGCTCCTTGATTAGAGACTGGCTTTAGCTCACGTCTCTAAATCGAACCGTCCAAGCTTTGGACGAACTCCCAACCATACCCATCAACCCCTCATTCACCCATTTTTGCCTGGTCACCTGGCTCAGCAATCATCGCTTTCCTGCCTGCCCTTTTTTTTTTTTCTTTTAACCAAAAAAAAGGAAAATAAGGTCAAACCAACCCAGCGACAGCTGCTTTTCGAAATGGCCAGCCAAGATTCGAAGGTCACCGGCGTCAGTGGCCCGACCCAGTGCGTCGGACCGTTGTATCGCTCCGAGAGCCAAAAGCCTTCGGCGACCGTCTCAACTGAGATGAACTTGGACAATGTCATCATCCTCCCCCAGACACCTCAGCTAATTGCACTTCTAACGTGAGTCGAATGTCTTGCCCGATAATCTAGCTGAACGCCGCTGTGATTAGGCGAGGCGCATAGGGCCCCCCACCAGACAGGTTTGCCCAAGTTTCACGAACCACCTATTAACACTTCTTGTAGTATCATTCGGGATAAGAACACCGAGCGTGGTGACTTCATTTTCTACTCCAATCGCATAATTCGACTGCTGGTTGAGGAGGGCTTAAATCACTTGCCCACAGTTGAACATGATGTGACGACGCCTGTCGGCCGGACCTACTCGGGTCTCATGTTTCAGGGCAAGATCTGTGGCGTGTCCATCATGCGTGCTGGCGAGGCCATGGAGCAAGGCTTGCGGGACTGTTGTAGGTCCGTAAGAATTGGCAAGATCCTGATTCAACGAGATGAGGAGACGGCTCAGCCGAAACTGTTCTACGACAAGCTTCCGGAAGACATTGCCCAGCGCTGGGTTTTGTTGCTGGACCCCATGTTTGCCACAGGTACGTATGAAGGAGACTTCGATGTTCAATACTTGAGCAATCCCGCACTTTTACTCAATCGTATCATCATGAGCGCGTGGAATCGCTAATAACGTCCACGCTAAACAGGTGGATCGGCCATCATGGCTGTTCAGGTTCTCAAAGCTAGAGGTGTCCCAGAAGACCGGATCCTTTTCCTTAATCTGATCGCGAGTCCTGAAGGCATTAAGAACTTCACATCAAAATTCCCAAAGCTCAGAGTGGTCACTGCATTCGTGGACCAGGTAAGATGCCCATTGCCCTACATTCTATGTCCTTAGGTACTGGCATCTAACATTATTCTTTACAGGGTTTGGATGAAAAAAAGTCGGTACCTGTGTATCTCACGATGCCATCATTGCGATTGCTAACTCGCTATCACAGCTACATCATTCCCGGCCTTGGCGACTTCGGCGACCGCTTTTACACCGTCTAAAGGTGCGCGGTTCGGACAAACAGGGTTATCGTGCGTCTTCGGAGCTTCGATGCTCTGGGCCGCTCTAACCAATAGCCCTCCAGACCGTAGTCAGTATGGGTGTGCCTGGGCTGAAGGTGTGGATGGTATGCGACACTCAACGCGTGTCTCACGGTATCTTTGCCTCCTCTAGTAATCATCGTCATCTGCATCAATGCCCTCGCCTCCGTATCTTCTGTCATCATCGTCGTCGTCGTTCACCGGTCGGCTCGGAGGTGCGCGCCGGGTACCAGAAGTCTTGTTCAGGCCACTTCCACCGGCTGGTGCTTCTTTGGCAACCGCATCTATTCGTGTGTCAATAACGACCATCGTACTTGTGAATCTGCTCTCCAACAAGGGGGGGCCCACCTGCGGCGTCTACCCATTCACCGTATACATCGACGGCAGCCGAGAGGTCTGAATATGATTTAGCACAAGCGAGCGAGAGACATGTTTGAACAAGAGAGCTTACAGTTGATGCTGCATTGAAACATCTGACCGCACACTCTGCAGTCCAGCGAACCGACACCCGCCTTCTTATCCAGCTTAACAGCTACGGAGTCCTCGTGGTTGCAGAAAAGACATGTGAATTTGGTTGGGAGGGGATCCTTCTGTGTTTGGGGGTCAGCATTTGGCAATTCGCATTCAAGGCCATGTGGACGAACCTTCTTGGGGCCCTGAGGCTTCGACGAACTCTTGCGCTTTCCCATGGTGCCGAAAGTCTTGTATGGCCAATAAGAGCGCGCCCAGCGCGTTGGATGACAGTCGTTGGATGTGCTATAAGCCTGACGGAGGAGGCGGTGAAAAATGAGAGCTGCGCGGTTGCCAGACGGAACAGCGATCAGCAGCAAAGCAGGGTCTTGGGGAAGGGTGGCATGCGAGGACGGAGGTGCAGCGTGTGAACGCGATCAATGCTAGGATTTCGAAGGATGCGCGGCGCAAGGCGGGCAGACGTAGTGGACCCGTTTTAGCAATTGCGGTCAGCTTGAAAGCTCTTATCACACGGCAGAAAGAATCAACCCCGTGGCTTATCGGGGAAGCGGGGTATCCACGGCAGGGGACGATGAACTGAAAGCAGCTTACCTAATAAGTAGCCGGTGTACCCGTTTTACGTAACGTAGGAACCTTACCTCGAGGAAAGCCAGAGGCAGCTGCATGGGCGCTGGCTGGTGCTGGTGCTGCCAGGCTTATTAAGGCAAGTGACATTTCATCACGATGCCTACCTAGGTATCTACCTAAGGTAGTCTACGTCTCTACCTAGATCGAACCAGTTACCTACCCAACGGCACAAAGCCTTGAGCAAGCCTACAGTCTGAGTAGGCTGCTCAGCATCCTTGGAGGATTGGAAGCGTAAAGAAGATGCCCTTGGCATTTCCCTCGTACTACAACGCAGGTAGTGTAGGTGTTGAGTTCACATCTTTGATTGGGGGGGGGTGGCGTAATGGCCCTCATTGAGCCCCGCGGCGCCCAGCCGAAAACAAGGTCCAGTTAGCCTCGGAGGTCGGAGTCCGGCAGCAGGTAGCAGTTCACACCACATACTGCGGAAGGCGTGTTGATTGTATATCTTGATCTCATTCACTAGGTAGGGTAGCCAGTCTCATCCGCAGATCTGCTATCCATCTATTCGTATATACCTATTAATTGTAGTATCGAAGACAGATAGCCGTTGGTGTGTCTACCTACCTAGGGAGGGTGCTAGGTACCCAAGGTTAGGTCAGCTCCACGCCCGCTACTGCGGGGAAACGCAGGGGCAGAGACAGCCCACTAGACATCTGAAGGCACCTGCCGGGGATCTCGTCGGGTGCACCCTTATCTTTGGCGCTAGCCGCCGCATACCTAACACATATCCTACCTATCTCTTCCTCCACGTTACATGAGGTACGGACGGCCCCGCATCTGTTGTCAACCATTCCATCCTAAGATAGACACTGGTGCTCCCAGCCGTGCGATTGACCACGTCGTAAGGCATGTTGGGTACGACATCATTTGTCAGCCAGCTACATTATCCTGCTATGGGTAAGTGAGAGCTGGATACGGGCATGCACAGCCTTTGGAGGTACTCAAAAGAGGCCGAAGCCTGAGCCTGGGACCTGCGAAGTGCATGAAGTAAGATGATGGCCGCACGCTCAAGCCCCAGAAGGAAAGCCAGGAGGTGCATGTGCAAGTTCCAATCGCGTCTGTACTGCACCACCAGTAGCGGGAGGTCGAGGTGCATGCGCGGCGCCTTCCGAGAGGTCACAAGGCCTCGCTCAGGCAGTGATCCTATGCTCGAGGTACCTAGGGTCACCTTAGATTCAGATGCGTATCGCAGTAACGCCTTAGCCCCTCGCATTCTGCCATCCCTTACATCTGTTTGCTACATAGTTAATCCTCTCTTCATCCGATTTAGTCATCTGTTGAACTGCCACCCTAGACGACTGTGGACCAGCCATCGGTGGTCACCGTCTTGTCTCGTCCTTCTTAAGAGGCTCCAACCTCCCAGCTTCCGGCAACTACTTGTCGTCTAAACTCCGCCGTCTGAACTTACCCCTGGCCCCAGACTTGCTTCATCTTGTCTTACTTTCGCGGGTTTTGTCCCTATCCTCCTCCTTTCTTCCTTTCATCCTCTTTTCTACCGCCTCCTCGCCCTCTTTTTTCGCCAGCTTCACAATCCTTGTGGCCTCCCTCCTGTAACCCTCGCATCACCACCCACCTGCTACTGACCACGTCAAGCCCCAGCTGCTTTCACTTCCGACCTGTATTGTGCCGTGAACCTCATCTTCAAACTTAGGCAGTGATGAGCACTGGAAGCCCCCCCGAGGAGGTCTTGGCCCAGGTGCTCGGCTCCCTGCGCTCCATCCAGCAAACCCAGTCGGACCTTGTGGCTGCCGTCGATTCATTGACCCAGCGATACCATCAGCTGTCTGGTGATGCCAATGTCGCCGCCGCACTTGCCCCGAGCCCGGCTATCGGCGTAGCCCCCGAAGCACTCCGCACCTCCGATGCTGCCGGTGGCTCGGACCAGCAGTCATCCGATCTGACCCTCCAGGCCCCGGCAGTTCCTTCGTCTCCAAGCCAGCGATCCGGCCTCACATCCCGTATCATCTTAACGTATGTCCACGTTGCAGAACCGTTTTTCCTGATCCGTTCATTTCCTCCCATCCGCTAGCGGCATTCGAAGTCATCCCAGCTCCCCTACTAAAGTAACACACAGAACATACCCAAAGCAGATTGGCATCAAGCCTCTGCCCCTGATTTGGGGCGAGGGAGAGCCTCATCGCCGAGGTCCAGTTGTCGTTTCCCGATCTTCATCCACCATTGGAAGACGTAACGGTTCGTATCTTTGACACCACATTATACTATTCACGCAGTTGCGGCTAATCAGGTTTCATTACCGTAGCCATCGGAGGTGAGTACCGTTTGTGCTTGGGTGAGCTTCTGATTTTGTAGGGACTGACCTATTGAATTTAGCTCAGTAAGTCAAACATACCTGACGCCTCTGAGAATACAGTACAGCAGGCAGAACAGCAAATGCTTCGTATCTAACACAGCTCTTGCCAGTGGCGGGTCGTATTCAATTTACTATGCTTTGGCTGTTGCTAGCAAACAGCTTAACCTGGAGCATAGGTAAGACCCTGTTGGATCACGCACGTTTCGCAAAAGGCTCACATTCCAGACCCGATTTCACCAACACGGAGCCGGCTGCCAAAATTGGACCCTTTCCTCAGTGGGGAGACCCTCAGAAGATTGTGGCGATGGATCCTTGGGGACATTTGGCGCCGTGGCTCTTCAAAGATACGATTGAAAGAGACAATGGTACGAGAACCTCGAGAACATCGTCTGCACAGACAGTCACGCACTAATACGAGGTTGAAGTTGATATCCGCCCGACTATCGCCATCACTAAGGCACACATGAAGGTTCGCGATCACACGTGCATATGATATCGATGTGCTAACGTCTGCAGCTGCCGGAGCTGGAAGAAAGCGTCAGGACGGGAAGGCTGTGAGTTTTCTTGACGCAAGAAATGGAACTTGCTTTGACTGACCTGGGATGTTAGCGTTCCTGACGGCAAGGTCTGTATTAACAACCTCGGAGAGCTTGCTGTGACCAAGTTTGCCGTTGAGCCTGTATGTCGACGCCACTAAGACCGAAAATGACGCAGCTAACATTGACCTAGGTGTGGTATCTGCCTGGGGTTGCCGAGAGATTTGGCATCGGTTCGTCATAGTTCCATCTCAATGACCATTGAGTATCTAACTTAGCCTCTAGACGAGGGGGCCTTGAGGCGATCATTGTTCGAGCACACTGGGGGTAGCTACCCTGAGGTAAGTAACGTGGGCTCATCAGAAATCGGGCTCTTGGCTGACTGAATTGTCAGTTGATCACCCGCGGAGACATCAAAGTTTTCCTTCCCCCCATCGGTGAGCAGGTCTGAAGCAGATTTCGACTTCGAGCTGACCTATTGACCCGGATAGGTGGGCTGACTGTGTACTGTTTCGGTGATCCCGCCAAGATGTCAGACGAGTCGGTGCGGTTGGCATTGCGCATCCACGATGAGGTTTGCAACATGGACTCCGGCAATGACTTCCCCGCTTACAGTACCCTAGTGCAACGGCAGTGATGTCTTTGGATCTGACATCTGCACCTGTCGTCCTTATCTCATCTTTGGCATTGAAGAGGCGGTCAAGGAAGCGCAGAATGGTGGTAGCGGCGTTGTGATATACTTCAGGAAAGAAGGCAGAGCTCTCGGTGAAGTCACCAAGGTGAGTAACTAGCGTGCCTTCATTCAATGTGAACAAAGCTGACACAGAGCTATAGTACCGTGAGTGTACCCTGAGTTGCGCGCCCGTGCCTGATTGAACTAAGCGCAGCTGCCGACCTGTCGCAGAACGTTTGTAAGATAGATGCTGACGGGGAACACAGTCGTGTACAACGCTCGTAAGCGGGGTGAAGACCGGGCTTCAGACTACTTCAAGAGAACCGAGAACATTGCAGGTGTCAAGGACATGCGTTTCCAAGCCCTGATGCCGGATATCCTCCACTGGCTTGGAATCCGCAAGATCGATCGCATGCTCAGCATGAGCAAGTGAGTAGAGGCTTCTCCCAGCGAAGCCGTCGTACCGCTAACAGGTCATTTCCAACAGCATGAAGCACGACGCCATCGTGGGACAAGGGTGAGCGATGAGTTTCACGTCCAGAAACGTCGATGGGATTGCGCTGACAGTATCTGCAGGATTCCCATCCATGAGCGGGTAGAACTCCCAGAGGAATTGATACCGGCAGATTCCCGAGTCGAGATAGACGCGAAAATCACCGCAGGCAAGCCAACACAAGTAAACTGCGAACCATTCTGAGTGCTGACATCAGAGTCTAGGGTACTTCACCGCTGGAAAGCGTATGACGGAAGAAGAGCTGAGGGCTGTGCAGGGTCGGCTCTGGGAAGAGTATGTTCCCCCAGGTTGGAGACAATTCATCGACCGCTGACATGCCCGCAGTATTGACCACTAGGCACCACATCCAGAAACCACTAGGCACCACATCCAGAAACTTGGGCCGGTGGTGCGTTGAACGAGTAAGGGAGCAGCGTGGAAACAAAGGTGCCTCAATGCTGAGCAAAGACCAGCTGTGTTATTGACCCTCCCCATGTAACTACCGCATCATCGCCGGTCTCCGGATGGATGGGGCGAGTAAATGTTGGACCTGCGGGTGATAAATCATTCCCTTTCCCCTGGTTGTGTCGGCGGCATGAAGAAGAGGGGTGCAGCGGAAGTCGGGTAGGAATGTTGCTGCGGCATCGTCGCATGTACTGGCAAGCTGGCGGTTTAGGGACGGGAAGGCCCCATATATAGTAACGGACGCCATTGGGTTAGATATCTCCCGGTGAGCTAATTGACACGAGACGTCACTACAACCACGTAACATGGTCGTCGCACCACCAACGCGCGTGAGGAAACTAGGCCTGGCCTGGCCCGATCCGCATGTGCTGTATGTGTATGTGTATGTGTGCGTGTGCGTGTGTGTGTGTGTGTGTGTGTGGGGTTAATTGTGTATGAAAAGACTTGCCAAGGAGCAGCGACGCATGTACCGCTCCCAGCTTCTCCAGTTCCATGTCGTTGACCGGTGCGGTGCAATGGCGGTGTTCAGCCGGGATTGGACTCGACTTCCCGGGAATGGGCGGGAAATGGCGGGAACTGGTCAGCCAAACGGTTAGCCACCCCACAGTAGCTGCATGTGTGATGCCGGCCATGCATGGCCTTTGCGTGTAAGTGCCCAAACAGACGCTCACCGACCCATACAACTCTAGACACATAGTTGGGAGCCGGTCCCATCAGGCACCGGCCATGTGGCCCAATGAATGCACGCTTAGCCCGTCAGCGGAAAACCATCGACCAGGCTCGGCCCCTCGTGGACCGATGCTCCCGCCAGGTAGCCGGGCTTGATGGCTGTTGATAATGTGCATGATATCCGCGTGAGGATGGGGTCAAAGGCAAACATGATTTCCATCCGGCTCATGCTTACTGTAGTTTTGCTAAAACCGATCAATCAACCGTGAGCATTCACGCCTAGCTGGGGTAGCATCCTTCTTTATCCATTCAATCATACGACAATCCACCTGGCAACTATGGCGGCCGTCGCCCGGGATTTGCGAGACGATGACAACATGAGGAGAAGGGAATCATCGCCTCGAGCAGATCGTCGACGCCGACCGAGGCTACTACGAGCCAGTGCAACTGAGCCTTCCATCACAACAACGTCGAATGCCAGTCGTGGTGCCATATCAAGTCCGCAGTCAACTCAGAGAGCTACCGAGTTGCTCAATCGCGTCGCAGTATATTCCGGTCCAGCCCCCGAGTACTCACCCACGTCGGGTGCGGCACCTCCCATGGCATCGTTGAGCGCCGAGGACGTGACCGTGGCGTCCGCCAACCGCTTACAGGGTCACAGGGAGCACCATCCTTGTCCGTGAAGTCCCAGGACGTTGGACAGCAACGAGTTAACTTTGCTGACGACATGCGTTGTCCAGATTCGAACGGCTATTTCAGCTTTCCCAATTTCGATGCCTGGGACGGAGAGCGGCGCAGTGACGGCAAAGAGGAAGATGTTTGAGCAACTCGATGAAGAAGGCGACAACGGCAGGCAGAGTTAAAAAATGTCCGCCCGTCCCAGGAATGAGACGTTTCTGGATGCCTCACGAAAGGCATATGATGACGATGATGACGGGGCCCTACGGGCTGTCCACGATTCTGCATGAGCCGTACGACCTAGCGAGGAATGTCATGGCCTCGGAGGGTGGTTACATGTCAATGGCGAACTGTCTTCTCGACCGAAGAAAACGAGCCTGAAGACAAGGTAGGGGGTTTTATCGTGGTTTTATGCTGCATCGGCGAATGCGCAACGAAGACGGGCACGAGGTGAATGATGGCGAGATGACAATCGCCACCGGGGCTCCTCTTAGGTGGTTGTATGGTCTGGGTGGGGAAGTAAGGACAGAAACACCATAGGTCAACTTCACCGGTCATAACAGGACGGACAACACCACTTGGGTAGAGTGAAGGAGGGATCATGGGCATCACACCTTCTGCAAGAGGGATGGATGGATGGCGGCTAGCAAATAATTGCGGAAGCCTTGAGAATTGTACTTTTCTGCTGGATACCCAGGTGAAGGATGGCGTCAGATAATCAATGCCTTCTGTTGGCGCCATTGTGGGAGTCGAGATTCTTCATTGTGAAGTTGGATCGTGATAGGCAAATTGTACCATGTTCATCTGAACGTTGTGCTCAACGCGGAGGCGCCCAATCGACCGATCGTCCACGTCCAGCCACACTCTTCATGCGGCCGCAGCCACACCTGGCTGAGCTGTGACATTCACCCACACCACACTACGTACCTACCTACCGAAGGAGGCACTGTCCCCGCAAGGTAGGTAGGTACTTTCTCTGTACCGGGAGTGGGTCTTTGGGGCTGACTGAACAAATTTTTTTCATGATTTTGTGCATCACGTGATTACAGTGCGGGAAGGACCGTGCGTGGTCTCATCCAGTATGGTGTCTCTTGGTGCTGACTTTGGGGCAGGGGCAAGCACAGTGCTGTCCCGGGGTTGCAGGCCGCCTGGATTACATAATTCGAACGGGGCACACTCGCTAAGAATTTCGGCCACACAACCTGCGCTCTCAATTTTATCACCAGCGAAAACACCACCCCTCCAATCTTTCAACTACTCAACGTTCATCCGCCAGACAAATAGCAGCCGCCCAAAATGGCTGTTGGAAAGTAAGCGACATCACTCCTGCAGACAAATAACGATGCGCGCGCCGTCGAGTGTCGCTGCCGTACGCATTCTCGCCGTCAGTTGCTAACCATTCTGCTTTCTCTAGGAACAAGAGATTGTCCAAGGGCAAGAAGGGTCTCAAGAAGAAGACCGTGGACCCCTTCTCCCGCAAGGATTGGTACCAGATCAAGGTAAGGGTCGGCGCAGCCACAATTTCGGCGACATGTAGCTGACAATACCGCGACAGGCCCCGGCCCCCTTCAACGTCAGAGAGTGAGTTCTGCCAGCCCGATGTTCCAACAACCGGATAGCCCGCAGCGACAGAAGACCGACAGCGAACTCGGAGGACACGATCGAGAAGAGGTCGATGGAGGGGGCGCAGACAGGGTTGGAGATGACTTCGCAAGCGGATTGCTGACTCCTTCTGCAGTGTCGGCAAGACCCTGGTCAACAGAACCACCGGTCTGAAGAACGCCAACGATGCCCTCAAGGGCCGTATCTTGGAGGTCTCTCTGGCGGATCTCCAGAAGGACGAGGACCACGCTTTCCGCAAGGTTAAGCTCCGCGTCGACGAGGTCCAGGGCAAGAACTGCCTGACCAACTTCCACGGCCTCGACTTCACCTCCGATAAGCTCCGCTCCCTCGTCCGCAAGTGGCAGACCCTCATTGAGGCCAACGTCACTGTCAAGACCACCGACGACTACCTCCTCAGACTCTTCGCCATCGCTTTCACCAAGCGCCGCCCCAACCAGATCAAGAAGACGACATACGCTGCTTCTTCGCAAATCCGTGCCATTCGCCGCAAGATGACCGAGATCATCCAGCGTGAGGCTTCCACCTGCACCCTCACCCAGCTTACCTCCAAGCTCATCCCCGAGGTTATCGGCCGTGAGATTGAGAAGTCCACCCAGGGCATCTACCCCCTCCAGAACGTACGTTTCAGATCCATATGTGGTGGTGCGCGCAAATTTCAGAGCTGACTCGATGTCCTCAGGTCCACATCCGCAAGGTCAAGCTCCTCAAGCAGCCTAAGTTCGACCTTGGTGCCCTGATGGGTCTCCACGGCGAGTCTGGCACCGACGACCAGGGACAGAAGGTTGAGCGTGAGTTCAAGGAGCGCGTTCTTGAAGAAGTCTAAGGAGCAAGAACTTAGACGGAGGAAGGTTCGGCAGCAGGGAACTCTGGCTCTATCGGCCGGAAAACAAATTCGGCATTGTTTAGGTCGTTGCACATGGCGTAGCATTAAGGCGGCTGCGGGTCTAGGTTACCTCAAAATGGTAAATGGTCAATTCTTCAAGACACTGTGCCGGGTGTGCGCAGCCTCGCTTCCGAATCATGACTGCAAGACTTGGGTTTCGGGATCCGACTGGAGGATATAAAAGAAAAAGGCGTCATGTGTGTATGTGGAATGGACGGACACGTTTTTTGTTGCAGTCCGTTTTCGACCAAGGGCAGACTCTCGCAGTACCACCAATGCGACTTCGTTCCTGGAACAAGCATGGCCCATTGCGGGTTCTCGTGACTGGAGAGCTCGGTTCACAAGGAGCGTCTTTGTGGTGACGTAGTTTGCATCCCATGATTCGGGGCATGTCAAATTGGACCTAGTGTGTGTCTAGATATTTGTCTATTCCATGCCTGTCTACGAATGAATACAACCCTGCCCTATCCTCCTCTGCCACGCACATGCGCTCTATGACGCCTTCCGCTATTCGGGTCCTCTTAGAAACTCGACGACCGCTACGACTCATGCGTGAGTTCTTGCTACGCGACCGGTACTAAGGGGAACTTACCCTGGCGGAAGTCTTCCGGCTTCTCTGATATCACCCAGTGACCGGCGTCGATGTCTGCCAACCGAAACTTGGGGAAGAATTGTCCGATGATGGGCAAAACATCATCCGGTACATACTTGCTTTTGGTTCCGCGGACAAAAAGAGCAGGCTTCTCGAAACGAACCTTGCTCGGATCTTTGTATGGGAAGTCCCCCATGTGGTTCAAAGAACGACCAATGATGTCCAGTGGAACTCGAAACTTTTGCTCCGGCTTCCCTGCTTGGGGCCGACGTAGATTGCCAAGCAGGAATTGACGAATAGGCAGAGACTTATGTCACCGAGTCAATGAAATGTGCGCTGCGTTTGGGCACGGAGAGTCTTACACTTTCATACTCTTTGAGAATCTGGTCCGCCTCTGCCTGCCTGGTGACATTGGCAGATTCGATCCTTCTCATGCCTTGGATATACTTCCCAAAACCACTTTCCAGTACTGCATCCACCGGCGCATTGTCGACCGCGACGATGTCCTTGACGAGGTCAGGCGATTCCAACGCAAGTGTCATGGCAGCCTTAGCACCCCTTCAGAAGACATGGCTCAGTACGCGACATCTCTTTGAAACCTAGTGATCTTTTACTCACATCGAGTGCCCAATGATGGTCGGTTGACGGAGGTCATGCTGGTCTATGAAACCCGCGACATCATCTGCCATGTGTACGTAGTCGTGGTGCCAGTCATGAGGCGACTCTCCATGGTTGCGCAGGTCCTGGCACCATCATCAATACCGCGGCCAAGTCTTGCGAGTAGTTCCTTTACCAATGCATAGACGGGTCTTCCAAGATCACGTGCGAGTACTCTGGAAGTGTGTCAGAAAAACGGAATCCGTCCATGGCGGGTTGACTCACTTGCTGATGCTTCTGTTGTTCTTCTTGGACCCAAAGAGGCCATGAAGGAAAATGATAGGGGCAACCAACCCAGCGGCTGCTTTGCTTGGCTCATGCAAGTCGTAGGACAGCGTCAGCCTATTCTGAGTCGATAAAGGCCTCAGCTGTGCTGATCCAGCCAGAGTACCCCGGCGAATGAAGCGCTGCATTGTGGACAACGTCATTTTAGCTGAAGTGAGATGAGGCTGATGAAAATTTATATACTACTGATGTTGCGATACCCTCAATCTAAGCTGCAGCCTTACTACCTATCACGTGATACATAGTATTATATAAGCCGCGCGTGAAGATATTAGCTTATAATATAAACTACTTTTCTAAATAATTACTCTTATAATACACTTTTATTTTTAATAACTTATATATTTATAATTTATAAAAGTTATAACTTAGTTTTATTAATAACTTAAATTACTTTCTTACTATAAGTTATATATAAGAAACTTGTTCTTTATTTTCTACTAATTTTTTTATTATATTTTTTTATTATATATTCTATTAATAATAAAATTCTTTTTACAAATAATTATTTAATATTTAAAAATTAATAACTTATTTAATATATTTATCTTACGTGTTAAATATATTTAAGAAGTTTTTAAAATTATATTAACTTATATATAACTAACTATATTAAAAGCTACTAGCTTTATATTATAAGATTTAACTAATATTAATTATAAAAGCTAAATTAATCTCCTTACTTTCTATTAATAACTTTTAGGTTACATAATTATAGTTGAAACTTAAATATTATTTTTACTTTTATACTTCTCTATTAAAGTTTAATTATTATAATAAGCTAAATTAACTATTTTCCTCTAGCTACTTCTATTTCTATTAGTTTCCTCTATTTTTAAGGCTTTTTTAACCTATACTTACTCTTTACGCTATATTTAATTTATACTTATCTTCTATTAAAGTTTCTTTTATTATTTAAACGTCTATATTATTAGTTTTATTAAATATAGAGGCTTTAAAGCTTTTATATTATTATTTAGTTATAATATCTTCTACTTTGTTATATAGTTTTAATAAAAAGCTTTATAACTATTAACTATACTCTTAATATTAGACTTATCCTTTTTAACTTATTAATATTCAAGTTTTTAAGCTCTTTTAGTTATTTTAAAAAGGTTTATAAAGTATTTATAAGTATTAAGATTATTCTTATAAGTTATAAATATATAAGTTATCAAGAATAAAGATATATTATAAGAGTAACTACTTAGAAAAGTAGTTTATATTATAAGTTAATATCTATATATATAGCTTATATAATACTATATACTATATAACAAGTAATAAGTAATAAAGTTATAGCTTAAGTTAAAAATATTATAATACACCTCTTTAAATATTATAAATTGCTGAGAAACCCATTTCTTATTATTATATACTTAAAATCTATTTAAATTTGTTATATAAAAATATATTAAAATAGTTTTTAAAAAAGTAAATTAAATAGATAAGTAAAATTAATATTTATAGTTATATTTGTAGAATATAAAAATACTTAATGGTTATTTACTTATTAAAATAAGTTATAAATATATTTAAAATTGATAACTTTTCTTAATATAGTTAGTATAAATTATTAAACATAAATAATAAAAATAAATAAAACCTTTTATTTTTTTATAATCAAACTTTTCTTTTTTTAAATTATTTACATTTTATAAAAATTAGTTTTTAAAAATCCTAAATTATCTATTATAGTATTTATATAGCATTAAAATAATTATCAAAAGCTTTACTAACTATTTTATAAATTAAAATTCATAATACTTATTAACAAAAAAAGCTATTACTTATATATATAAAGTATATAAATATAAAAAAAACTACTATTAATATTATTATTACTATTATTATTATTAATAGTTCTCTCTTTATTTCTAATAATAATAATAATAATAATAATAATAATAATAATAATAATAATAATAATAATAATAATAATAATAATAATAATAATAATAATAATAATAAT